TCAGGAGCTCAAAGATCTTGCAAGAACCGACTCCAACTTCCTTTGTAAGCTCCGTGTGACTTCTTCCTCTTCCCAAAGAAGAAAATTCAGGTAAAGGGAAGGAGATTTGAGACGATAGAAGAGATTCAGGCAGAATCGCAGATGGTGCTTGACAGGCTGACAAAGAAAGATTTCCAGGGATGCTTCCAGGCTTGGCAGCGGTGCTGGGATCGTTGTGTTCACTCCCAGGGGAACTACTTCGAGGGTGATGGATGAATTTAATACCTGAGATAAGTGTATGGGTTTTTATAGGCGAAGTCTTGAAACTTTCCGATCGCACCTCGTACTTTCATATTTTTGTTCTAGAATGTACTCACAATGTAACAATTCTGGAGCGTTCGCTCTGTTATTGCCTTTACATTTTCAATTTGTGACTCTCTGTTAAAAAACAGCATAACATCTGGGCTGACAAGCAATTTTACTTCTTTTTTTCCAAAATCACTCCAACGGTTCTCGATTTGAAAGATGACACAGGATAAAAATTATTTTTGTTTAATTATCTCTACGATCCAAGAAAAGAATTACAGGGAAAAAAAGGTTCGACGTATATTGTTTCATTCGCGTCTATAATTTTTCATTCGAGCCATTTTTCGCTCCGATATGCATTCAGAGATTTACGCTCGAGGTGAGAGCACAAAAGGTTAGATTAGGTTAGGTTTTCATGCAGTGGCACAATGCAATTAAACACAATACGGAACATCAACTTCGCATCGGTCAGTACGAAAATAGGCAATTCAGCCGCATCAGTGACCTGAGGACATGGACAGAGATGGTCCTCGAAACGTTGGCTTTTGTTTTGGATTTTTTCGCCTTTCAACCACTTCACACGACGGCTGGTAGCCCGAGAGAACGTTGTTAAATCAAGTCCCTGTGAAATCACCAGATCATACAACAGGTAATTTAAATTTATCGAACATCGCTTCAATGTAGACCGCTGTGCGTACATCTACACTAATTTCTCGTTCAATTAACATTACTCGTTTATCTGACACAGACGCTCAGAACCACATAAACTTGCGCCATCGAACGCCCACATACATTATCACTGTATTCTGGCGTCAACAAAATTGAAGCTGGGGAAATTTTCATTTTCGCTCGTATCGTTCTCGTCTAACTCTTACTTAAATTAAGCTTAAAATCAAAATTTATAAAATCACTCAACTAATCATCGCTTAAACGTTTGGCACATTGCATAATAGAGCTGATTAAGATCTGCATATTTTTAACTTAATAAGTGTCTACGTTATGAATTTACGACGAAATATAAAATAAATTATTTATAATTCTTTATTCTACCTGCAAGATATTTCTAAGACAGATGTGCAAAAATCATGGAGGAACGCTTCTGAAACACTACAAGCTTTCTTCATTGCAACAATTTTTCTTCTTTTGAATCCTTTCATGATTTGAAATAGTCGCGACTGTCTTTAAAATCATACACGTGAGCTGTAAATTTTAATTCTTTCATTAACATTTACATTCATTATTTCCGTGTGTCCTCACTGTAATCATCCTGATACCTTTCAGAAATTAAGAAATTAAATTTCGCTTAATAAATATTTGCTTAACAAAGGACTTTAAATGAACGAATCTCTTCCATAAAACTAGGACTTACCACACTTGGTTAAGATATTTACGTTGTGTTTGCTCCTTGCAGTTAGGCAACCACGATCATCATCGAGTGGCGGGTCTGTTCAGTCGGGAACTCTTCGACGGACTGAACTTCCTGGCACATCGGCAAAGAATTTGGAATGGAAAACACGGAAATAACGTGGGAACAGTGCCAGGATCATCAGGGCATGAATGCGGGTCTTAAACACTGCTCAGACCGAACACGTGACCTCAGTGGGACAGCAGCACTAGCGGAAGAAACAAGAACTAGGGACACCCACTTCCATGTACGTCAGTGTTCAGCCACGTTTTGCTGTAAATTTTGCATATTGGCTCTTTCTTATGAGGCAAGGTTTTACGTGTAGATACATACTTAGGGCCTTTTTCGTGGGGCTAAGCGTAACACTGCTCTATATGACAGTGGCTTCACACAGGGGTGAACAACACAAAGCTGAGTGAGCCGGGAAAAGTGAACCAGCGAACTAAGTGATTAATGGCTGCACTGTCGAGGTTCGAATCCCGGAGGGGCAGCCAATCTTTTTCCTTACTTTCACTTTCAGACCTACCCTCAGCCTATATCCGGGAGATCTTTCAAAGGGCTCCAAGTCTCGAAGTCACCGTTCAACTCAACTTAGTGGCGAAGTCCATTTTGTACATAAAAGTGTATATTACGACTCGCATCCTTATTGCCTTCAAGGTTTATCCAGCTGCGATTCGACGTGGCTGCCTGTGAACCCAAACTACGTGGAGCTGAACTTGGAGGCCCAGAAAACCGCAGGGAAGAGCCACTAGAAGGCGTACAACCAGCTCCCGAACTGCGACGATTACAACCAACCAGCGCGGAGGCTACCACGTGGTTCCTCTGTCTGAGAAATTTCTCGCGGTAGCCAGGAAAAAATTTGTTTACACAGCGCTGAGGGAATTGATAAATGCAAGAAAAACGACGAAAAATACAGTACACTCTGTCCTGAATATCGCCTGGATTACCAACTGTTCCTGACTGACGCCTTTCGTCATTTTCCGTACTTTCCCCAGGATAATGTCGTGATAGCACTTTGAAATAGGCCACGATCACCTCGCTCTAAATCATTATCTTCTGATGCACTATTAATTTCCATCGGTCCATCGAATTAAAAATGCAACTATGCAGTTGAAACAGCGTTTTAAAATAGCCTAAGAATCAATCGATTAGTTGAAACGATTAATTGGCTGGTTGGTTGCATTATTTAATAACCTAAGAATCAAACAAGGCATGTGGAAATGAAAGTTAGAAAGACTTGGGTGGTTATGGAACATTATTTAACGACTCCGTTTCAACTGCAAATGTTAAACAGCATGAACACAGATGAGAGTATTTCGAAGGAGTACACACTGGGTGGTTGAAGTCCTTCCGTGGCCTTGAAGCATTCAATTTGTTGCTGGCTACTATAGCAGCTTATTTCCGTGATGTGCCTACCGTATCAAAAACATTAGTCACATGTGTTTCAAGGTCACGAATCATCTTAAGATTAACTCAGCGTTATGTCATTATGCAGTTTGCTAAAAAGAAATCCAATGGTCAAGGGACAAGGATAGAGCACACGCAGTGCACATCAGACCCAGATAAATTGTCATTCTCCATTGGATGATCATGGAGCGGTGGTGAATTCCTCCGTTTTTATTATTATTCTCCTTGTTTCTACTTCCTTATTTTCATCTTCTGTTTTCTCTTCGTGACTCTAAATCTCAATTCGAGCCCTAGTCTTATCAAACACACCTCTGAGGTCAGTGTCACGCCCCAGGGAAAGGACCCCAGGGTGGAGCCAGTCTGAAAAATCCTCTGCCCCTGTCAGGGATCCAAACTCGGTCGTCCAGCCCGGCTGATAACACACATGCTTTCTGCAGGCCACACACCATCTAGTTGACTTAAGATTTGTTTCAGTGGTAGTTATTCTTCGAGCGAAATTCCATTTCGTAAGTCTCTTTACAGCGTTGCCATCACCATGGCAACCTGACTGCTTAAAATACTTGATACCTTCTCAGTCAAACCTATCCTGAATTTTAAATGGTCAAATTCCCACCACACATTTTTCCTATAAATCATAAGGGAACCTAAAACTGTCACATTAAGCACCTTTCTGAACAACTTCATAAAACTGTTCATTGTGTCCGTCTCTACAGCAGAACTATTATATAAATAACAATTGTGTTTTTTTTTGTATAATAAATCACATGCTTCCGTTCTGGTTGGCCTTCATGCTCTAGTGTGAGCAGGGAAATGGGCCCATCAACGTCTGTCTGTCTGTCTGTCTATATGTCGCAAATTTCCTGTGGGAGCAGGCAATCTGCATGAATATGTGTCATTGTTGCATAACAATGAGAAATCTTGATTCTCACTGTCGGAAAACACTGTTGCACAATGACCAAATTGGCAACAATCAGCGACCTACTTCGTGTGGTGTGAAAAACACCTTTGCTTATTCAATGTTCTCCAGAGAGTAAAACTTTTACAGTGTAGTTCAGTTCCCCTCTTTGTTATGGTCTAGACTTCTGCTCTATGCTCTGTGTTCGGATTATAACCGCGTTCATCGTATACTACCTCAGTATGTCCTCAGTAACTTTTCTCTTCTGTAGCTGTAGAATATATGTAAGGCATTTTAGGCAATTTTAATTATTATACATTTAATAATTTGATAATTATCTCTCTAGAACTAACTTACCCAATTCATGCAAGTCTTCCCTTAACGGTGGTCTAGCAGTTAGAACGCTGGCCTTGTAATCCTGGGGGTCTCTGGTTCGATTCCCGGTGGTGCCCGAATTTATAACTTGTGTTGGGCAAGGCCGTGGTCTAGGCAACACGGAGTTTTCCTCCGTGGTATCCCAACAATTACTCCATTCACACACAGAAGAAGGCAATGGCAAACCACTTCTGGATCATCTGCCAAGAACGTATATGAACAGGTCCCAGTCCGAGAAAAGGATGGAAGGATCCTGTTCATATGGACCTGTCGTCAGACAGAAAACTAAATAAATAATATAAATCCTAGTGCGGGTAATTATTGTAAATGACACGACAGATTGTCTACCAAGGTCATAACCATAATTTAAAAATAGTTTATGCTTTCATAGTAACTTATGTAACACTTCTATGGAGAATTTGTACACCGACATGAATCTGCAGTCTGTTTCTGCTTGCTTCCTTACGCTATCTTCCTGTTTGTACATTTCTGCATGAAAGGAAAAGTGTTTGATGCACAAGCCAGTGTGCCTAATTTCCATAAGTAATTTAATTTTCGATATTAAAATTTCTCATACGTGAAAAGTAAGTAGTACAGTCGATTGTAAATATCATTAAATACTTATATCCGATCAAGACATCAAACTTCTTGAAAAGTTTATAATGAGTTGAACACTTTAACGCGTGTCTCGTACGTAGCGAGTAAAGTGTCAAGATGATTATTACCTTACTGGTCCAATTAGAGGATAATCTCGAAAAATGGGACCCCATTTCAGAAGCTACGGTAAAGAAGGATTTGAGTGTCATGGCATTTTAATGAAGCCGACGTAAGGTTACTACGGATTTTATATCATGATTACCAACCAAACAACATCGTCTTATTAATTTAGCCGATAAGGCGTCTTCTGCCGGAGTTTGGAAGCCATTTCTCAACGATATGACCTTTCGTACCGAAACGAAAAGGTACAAAGATGATTCAAACCACGAAGGCAAAGTACAATATATCACATTTACGACATTTTCATATCTTCTTGATTATAAAATCACTGCTGTAATTGACATTCTTATCTAAAAACAACAAGGTCGTTCAGAAAGTGGACTTACGTACTTATTCCCTGTACTAATCACAACCTCCGTCTAAATCGTTTCAGTATTAACCTAAATATATTTCAAATTTCAATTTACCCTTTGTAACGTACAAGACAGTACACAGTCGACTAGCTTAATTTTAAAATAATACTGGAAAAATGTGAATTCTGCAATAAAAACAGAGCGTTCGACCCAGTTTTTGTTTCCAGCCTAGACCCCCGGTAGATTACGAGAACACTACAGAAGTTAGCAAACAAAGTTTACGGTCTGGCACACAGTAACGACTGCGCTGTACTCTACAGACAATACTACAAACTAAATATCAACCCCTAACTTTCACAATTGTTGATTTAATTTGAAGTTAAATAAACAGATAAATAAAAGTGGATGGTTTCTGCCAATATGTTTTATTTTCAGTGAGTTACACACATTGGGCTCTCTCCTTAGGGTAAATTTTGGGAGAAATAAAGACAAATCAACAAAAAAATGGATGTTTTAAAAACCGATTTGCTGAAAATATTTTGAATGAGAAGCGTCGAGCACATGTGAGCATAAGAAATTAACAAACCATGCTTGATATTAAAAAAGCAAAGGTTTAAAAAAGACGTCGGTCTGACTTTTTGGTCGCGCCGACGCCCAGCGTCCCTACTCCCAGAAGCCCACTACTGCTTCACACGAGGACTTCCGGCTGGCTGAAGGAGTTCCCTCCTCGCCCTGTGCCAACTAACGTGGCCTCTCCCATTGACCCCATATTGACGCCGACCTTGGGGAAGACGCCCCGACATCCGACGTCCAAAGGCACGCCACTACCGACTTCTAGATTTCACATCTGTGGCACCCGAAGCAAAAATTGCATGTAGAATTTTAGTCGGAAAACCTGAAGGGAAGTTAAACTTATAAGGATGATATTAATAAATAGGATGTGAGACTACGGAGCAAAATCTAATTCGTCCTGAACATCCCGGCTCTATAAAAGGCGGGAAATTTCGCGACAAGAGGTTTCTCTCCCTGGAGTTAGACGAAGTCTTTAAAAAGGTATGAAGGCAGTACGTCCCCCGCCCCGCTTCTAGAGTTATAAGAAATGTACTTTTTAAAAATTAACCTAACAATAATTCTAGAACATTACTTCGCATCGAATCTCTTCCTGTTGTTCGAGATGCAAATAAAAAATGAGTTTTCTGACATGGAAGTACCGAATAACACAACAATACATCAACCGGTAACAATATTTCTCTGTTACAAG